CTTGCAAGAAAAAGGTGTTCAGATAATTCTTGCCATGCTCTCTAGAAAGGCATGGTTACATTTTAGACCTTAGATGTGCAAAAACTGAAATCCATAACGAGTCTCCAGTAAGGGAAAATGCAAATCTGTTTAATTTCTACCACTAAGGGTTTGCAACAGAGCAGACTCTCAGGCAGTGAACACAGTCCAACAGCATAATCACTTCAGGTTAGTATGACAGGCTGATCAGTTCATAAATCAGCAGGCACCTTGCACAAGGACCAGATTCCTAGCACAGCAGCCCATTCAGCATTTTATTTACCTGAAGTATCAGCAATATTGTCAGAAGCTGTAGTACAGGGAAGTCCCTTGCCAGTCTTCGCAGTAATGTTGGTTGTAGCTGAAGGTAGATGAGTCATTAATGATTTTACCAATGTTGTTACAAAAATCAGTTTTCAAAGTGTTTTAAAGGTTTGTATTGATCTCCAGTGTCTCTCCCATTTATACAGAAAAAATGATGCTTTTATGGAAGCATCACATTGGAGAGATTCAAGCATACCTCAAGAATTTTCTTACCCACCGAGAGATCCGGTTTCAGCAGCTGGGCATCTCCACATTCTGCAGACTACGAAAAGGTAAGTCCTTCCTGCTAGGCTGAGCCCCCAGGGTGCTCTCAGAGCCTGCCTGCACCTATCAGTGGCAAGCAGGCACTGCTTTGGAACAGAAATCAGAATCATTAAGCTTCGAAAAGTCCTCTAAGATCATGGAGTCCAACCACTGACAGCGCCAGGCAAACTCCTCTGGGGACTAGCTCTGCTCACTTAAGCAAACAGAATAATCTCAAGGGTAGCTGTTACCTCACCTGTTACCTCACCTGTTCTAAAGTAACTAAGAGTATCTTATGATAAAAGTGGGAAGGTTTTGTTTGTTTATTTGTGCGCTTTAAAACTAAAGCCTTTCTGATCAGGAGGGAAACAGGACTTTGGGTACAGATGCTTTTATCCAATATGTCTGGCAATAGATGCAACCTAAAAATTTTTTAAATCTGAATGCAGTTTATTTTGATAAAGCAAGCAAATAAGCAAATTGCATGATTAGCTGATATTAAAGTGGGAAGTCTCACATCTTTAAATGGACTTTAAAGTCCATTCCTTAATATTTTCTGGTTTTAGTTAGTCTTTTTGTTTTTGGGTAAAAGTTGAGTACTTATGAGAGTTTTAATGTGGTAATAAATATATATAATATATAGCATATATCTTTACACATGTAGAGCCAGAGTCAAGACCTTGCTTTGTCTTGATATGCAGCTGCTGCATAAAGCTGCATTTGGCAACTGAGATTTAGACATCTGGATCAGGAGAACTTAGCAGCAATCTTGAATGGTTGTAGGGATGAAAACTGAATTTGTATCTGCCTTCTGTGGTAGAAGAATATTGTTCTGCCTTCTCTGTTATTCCTTTACAGATCCAGAATTTTCATTAGCATTCAGAAAAAGCCAAATGGCCAAACTCCTTGAGCAAGTCCGTCAACAAACAGAAGAAACTCAAGAGCTCCTTAAAGCAGCTATTTGCCATGAAGACAGTTAAGCCAAATGGTTTATGAAAACTTATCACATCCAAGAGCCTGAACTTTCAGAGAAAACAACTCTTTTCATTGATTCCTGTAGTTAAAAGTTTTCCTGCTACTTGCAGTTTCATTATACAGAAGAGAGGTTCTGATAACAAGAACTGGAGCAGGTCAAAAACCAATTCCTTGAACATTTTGGTTGGCTGCTTAAGTGTGCTTGAGGGCAAGACTACGGTCCTTTCCAAACGGGGTGTGAAAAACACCCGTTATGCTTGGTTAATCCTCTATGGTTTGTTTTTGGTTTCCTCACCACCACCCCCCTTCAAAAAAACACCACTGTATTCATGAGGTTTTCTTCATATAACAGGCCGATTCCACTGAAGAGGCATCTCAAGTACACGGGTTACTCTGCATTCATCTTTATTGCCCTTTATTTCAGAGCACACTCCAGGGTCTTTGGAAAATAATTGAATTAACCCACAATATAAAAGTAGAAAACTACAGAAAGTAAGTGATGAGGGACAATTCAGAAATCGCAAGAAATTTGTAAGAGACAAGAATGGGGCAAGCCTTCCAGCTGATCCTTGTCCACACTATAGACACTAGTCTCCAGCAGAAGAGCAAAGGCACATTTAAGGCAAGTGAGATATTGCACAGAGCATGTATACAATACAGTAGCAACCATGAATTATTTGGGTGAGATGTGTTTGAATACAGAAATCTGTGTTCTGCAAATGTTAAATTATTTCCAAAGGTACTTGCAACAGGGAAAAAGTAAAAATATTTGGTAAAATTAGGAATTGTTCTTATACTTTGCTACTGATACTTCATTTTAAAAGGAGTTAAAGAACAAAAAACCTAGTAATATGTTTAAATTCAACTAATTTTCTTACATGTATACAGAACATGGGACAACCTCCCCTTCCTTCTCCTCCAGAGAAGAGGCTCTCTCACAAACTTTTTAGCTAATCAAAACAATATTTTTCAGGAAAAAAAATGTAGCACAGAGCTTTGAAATTATGGGGCACTGTTTTTTTAATATAGGTTTTAATTTGTGAGAGAATAGTAATCTAATAATCATAAAAATAATAACGATAAAAATAATAATCTATTAGTAATCCAATTCCATATTTGATCAATACACTGGTTTTTGAATACAAAAATCTTCCTGAAGCTTCACATTGAACTAGCTGGAATACTGAAATTCTGGAACCACTCTTATAGCAAGCATCTGCTGCTAGATAGCATTTTCTTGTGAAAACATTTCAGAAGTTTCCTGACTGTCGTGGTGTAACCCCAGCTGGCAGCTCAGCCCCGTGCAGCCACACTTGTTCACTCCCCCTAAAAGTGAGAAGACCTGTGGGTTGACATAAAGACAGTTTGACAGGGAAAGCAAAAGCCACTCACACAAGCAAAGCAAAACAAGGAATTGTTTTGCTCTGCTTGTGTGTCCACTTCCAATGGGCAGGCAGGTGTTCAGTCATCTCCAGGAAAGCCAAGCTCCCTCGTGTAATGGTTACTTGGGAAGACACACACCATAACTCCGAATACCCTCCCTTTCCTCCTCCTTCCCCTACCTTTATATGCTGAGCATGACACTGTACGGTTTAGAATGTCCCTTTGCTCAGCTGGGATCAGCAGTCCCAGCTGCGTCCGCTCCCAAGTTTTTGTGCACCCCCAGCCTTCTTGCTGGTGGGGTGGTGCGAGAGGCTGACTCTGTGCAAGTGCTGCTCAGCAGTAACTAAAACACATTGTTATCAACACTACGTTCAGCACAAATCCAAAACACAGCCCCCCCCCAGCTACTGTGAAAAAAACTAACTCTACTCCAGCCAAAAGCAGCACACTGTCTTTTGAGGTACTCCTGATCATGTTATAACTCTTACGTGCATGTATAGCTTTAGAGCTGCTATTGGCTACAAACATGGAATAAAAGTGAGAGTAAAAAAACAGTTTAAAAAATAATTTTGTCAATTAAGAGCTCAATGTTGCATTTTAATGTGGTCCAAATATCTAAGCTTAATTTTGGTGCTTTGGGGAAACATTTTTGATAATGACACCTTTTAATATCTGCAAGTTTTTCCAACAGTACTCACTGGAAAACAAACAAACCAACTCACCTAAAATCAAACCAAACAAACCCCACACTCAAAATCCTCTCTGCAGTGCAGTAAGAGGGCCTGGTAAAGTACAGGGCAGACAGAAACCTCAGATAAAGCGATATGGCATTTTCAATATTCATGTGTGGCAGAAATTTTGTTTTGAAATTTCATATGAAAAACCATGTGCTCAACTTTGGCCAAGTGTACTTACTGAAACAGAGGACTAACTGAATGACACAGCTAGGAACGAAATCCCAAAATCTCAAAACTTCAGGCCACCTCTGTGGGTGACTTTAGATGAGTTTCCAAAAAGAAAATCAGTGCAATATTAAGTAATTATATCAGAATCTGTTCTGTATCTGTATTCTTGGGTATTTAATTGCAAACATTATTTCAAAGTCTTAGCAAGACAAAAAATAACAAAGCATTCTTCATCAGGAATGAGGAGATAAAAGATGTGAAACAAGCAAAGCTAATGGTGAACAACCCACCAGTTGTGATGTACTGAACTACACTCATTTATGTTGTGCTGCTAAGATGCGAGCAAGGAGCTGAGTCTTTCCAAAGCACATAGCTCACTGCTGTGAAAGGCTACTGCTCTGTAACTTCAGAATACCTGTCTGCAACTTCTACAATTGCTAGTCCTACCTCACTCAGTAGTTCAGTTTTGCCTCTGATAGTACAGACAACAAAATCAGTTGCAATAGAAGGGAAAGGAGCTGGCCTTCACTCAATACTATATTTTATTTTCAAGAACAACACTCAACAGAAGAGAAGCTATTTTTCCCTTCATCTAAAGAAAGAGAATTAACCAAAAGACTTAAAAATTCAATATTTAATCTTTTTTTTTTAAACTGATACACCTTATTCTACTCGCAATTTCCTAGTCTTTGTTTTGTTGTCAGGCCCTTGAAACAGAGGAAATTCTCTCTCTCATTTGAAGCAAACCTGGATTGAATGTAGTGATAAATTGTTTTTACTGCAACCCTGTTAAAAAAAAAACCGAAAAAAGCAAAGTACAGTTGAGAAATGAAGCAGGGCCTTAATCTGTGCTGCAAACAGTGAAGCAAGAGTTCTGAAGTCTCACAAAAAACAGATCAGCAAAATACAGACCCAAGCCAAAATAGCTCAAGATCAACATAATTTAAACCTGAGCCTAAATGAATCCCTGGACTTAAAACTGAAGCCAAATCTTACTGGCTTTTTTTGTTCTGTTTGTAGCTGATTTTCTATTAAAAAAATTAGATGAAACCTGAAGCAAGTTCTAAGCAGACCAGGAGTAGCAAGAAGAGTTTTCCACCAGAGATTGTCTCCTGCTTCAGCTATGCAAGAAAATGAAAATATAAGTAGAAATAAATATTTCAAACAAGTTTTATTTGGTACTTACATGCTATATATAGTTTTAAAGAAAAACTACATATTTTGGACACTTCAAAATATTGTGGCTATGTACATGGAAAACTAAAGAAAGCAAGAAAGGAACCCAATTCATTTTACTGTGTCACAAGTTACTATTGAAAGCATTCTGACTGAATGGCTGGTTTTTTCCCTTCCATATAGATTCTGGCAGATGAAGTCTCTTTCATTTTATTTCCATTGCTTTTATCCCATCTCCTCTATAAGATGAACACTTGGCAGCAGCAGAAGTTTCTTCAAAAATTCTTCAGCTTTTGTCTCAGAGGATTTCTTCTGCTAGCATAGACTTTCTGCACAGCTTCCTAGAGGCCTTGCTCAGTGCTCACTAAAGGCAAGTACAGGAATCTTAATGATACATTCTCTCTTAGCATGAGTTGAAACCCCGTGAACCTCCATTTCCCTTGCCAAGGATCTTCTCACTGACTTCAGAGAGCAATGCCTCAAGCCCTCCTGGATGCTTCAAACTCAAATGCCTAGAGTGAGCTCTGCCTGCAACAGCATTGTTTAGGAAAGCACAAAAACGTGCAAAATTTTACAGTTCTGCACAACACAACCGAAAGTGAGGGATGGAACAATGACAGTAGAAATCAGCATCAAACTAAAGAGAAAGCAACTTGCATTGCTCCTCTTATCACTCAAACTGCACTGCTTTATAAAAACCACACACTGCATAAAAAGCACAATGACCATTTTCCATTTGCTCTGAAACGAGCAAAACCAAAAAATCCCAAACCTGCATCATCCAAAAATCAAATATTTCAGGTTTCACACAGTCTTCAGTAGTTTGATAAGGCAAAGGAAAAGTCTTCCATCATTGGGAACAGCAGCAACTTACAGGACTCAGAATAAGGTATTTCCTTGTGTGTGTGTGCACACGTTTGTGTGCATATGCATACACATCTTTTATAGGTTTGTGAACATGGATGTAACCAAAAAAAAAATCAAGTTTGCAGTATCTTTTTACCACATTTGTCTAATTTATTCAATTAAATGATTTATTTCTGTACTGAGCAAAATTCATAAATACATAATCTAGAAGAACAATAGGTTTTCCTCTTGTCCATGAAAAAATAACGCTTTCAAATTTTCACATTTTAAAACCTGTCTTGTTTTGTGTTTTTAGAGAAAATGTGAGAAGATCATAGTGACATCTCAATTTACAGAATGTCCCTGTAGGGATTTCATTTACAAGAACCTGATACAGAAGCCTATAGTTTGCCCCCATAATTAGAGTTCTCTGCAATAACATTTAAACCAATAGGTTTAAACAAAACACCCCATTAGCTCTACTTGTAGAGCAATGAGGCATTTATTTTTCAAGTATTAGAACCACAAAGTGTAAAAGATTCTTTGCCAATTTTATAATTATGCCTTTTAAACCAACACTCACCTTTTTTAAAAAAGCAAAAAAGAATCAGTCCCACCACCCAAATCAGCCCATTACTTTCAGATTCCAGTGTCTGGTGTCTCAAGGAATGCAGAAATATTCCATTTACTAACAAAAAAAGCTTGTTGGAAATAGCCATATTAAGTAACGCATGTGAAGCATGATTTTTCTAGTGATGAAAGCTATTAGAAAGGTGATCCAAGTCTATTCCCCTCATTTCTTCTGCTGGTTTTACTAAAGTCCTTCCAAAAAAGATATTCAAGAAATCTTTAAAAAACTGGAGAGAAAAAATAAAACACTCCTTCATAGCATGGAAGAAACTCCACTGACTGCAGAGACGCTCATATCACCTTTGGTTCTTCAGAAGAAACAATCAGATCACTTCTACAATAGAAGGTAATAAAAATGACAGGTCAGAACGGCAATGCTTACTTCAAAATGTTATGTGCTTATGCAATTAATGATTTTCCTTACATTTTCTGGCCACAGAAAAATAAAGGAGTATCCAATTTAATTTGCTAAATTAGTATTTGTTTACCTAACATCCTTGAAAAGTTGTGATGTCACTGAGAAAACTAGTGTCCTGCAAACCATCCCTCAGTATTAATGCGTGCAAGAACTTGATGAGGAAAGTACATCCGGAATTTTACAAAGTGGTTAGGTACCAGCTCCCCTTCTGCATGTGCGTGCCAGGTACTGCACTTACAAAACTGGAACCTGATTGCTGATTGCTTGGAACAGCAGCTGTCACTTGCCACTTCTGTTTGGCAGTACAGGGCAAACTTTTCCAAGCAACCACAACTGGAAGAAAGTAAAACATAACTGAGAGGCCCTTATTCAAGAAAAGATAAGGCCTCATCATAACTTGCACTGCATCTACATGTTCTTGGCATGCACAACTTTACAAAGAAGAGATACGCTCCTTTCCCCAAATGATGTGGGGTTTAAAAATGCTTAAATTAATCAACTTATATTAATTGAGAGCTCTAGGAGCTCTGTCAATTACAACACCTTACAAATGTTCATGAACCACAGCAAACCTACCTGCTGTTTGATGTGTTTGAACACTATCTACCTGAGGCAAAAGAGTCCCCTTATCTTCAAAGGCTAGAATTGGATTCAAAGGAATTTCGGTACTATTGCTTCCATCATTGTTCATGGCATCCAGCCGGGATGGTTTAGAACCAATAGGCAGGTTTATGATCTCTTCAAAGTTATCATTCTGCATAGACATTCCATTGTCATTTGTGTTTTTCTCTGGATTGAGATTGCTGAAAGAAAAACATAGTTATTTCCTCACACACTTCGTCTAGAACAGAAATTTAGTCCTCCTCAAAGCAATATTACAAATGGAAGAAAAGTCTGCATCAATCTCGAGCATTCTTTTTACCAGTAAAAACAAAGCTATGCTTCTACCACAGCAGAAAAACTGTTTTTGCAGCCAAGTACTAGGTATGTCTTCCCTCACACAGGGTAGTAGTTACATTTGGCTACATGACACCCAGCTGCAGTGCACTGTATGTCTGAGAAGTGCCTGCAATTGGAAGCAGTTAAAGAATCCCCTGCAGCACCACCACTGCTATCTGGAGCCACCCACCTAATGCAATTCACAGCCTCTAACATATTTTTTCAGATTTCATAACCTTTTTAGTACCCTTCCTCTTATTGCAAATCAATGTAATTGCCCTTAGATAAGATCACTGTAATTTTTATTACTTCTTGGGTCACCTCCTGCCACCAGTTCTGGAGCAGTGTCTTCTACGTGCCACTTATCCAGAGAAAAGACTCCGTTACCAATGTAGTGCTCTTTTCAGTCCCTCCTCCCCTCCAAGTCCTTAGGGCTTATTTCCAAGGCACCAACCAGCTCCACACTCCTCTCAGTGATCATGCCCAAGCCAAAAGAACCCTCTCCCAGCACCCCTCATTGTCAATCTGCATTTCAGTTTCTATCTCCCAGTTGACAGAGATGCCTTATGAGTAAGATCTTGTACATCTCCCCTAGTCAAGAGCAGCACAAGCACACACTCTGCAATTATACATACTCTCCTGAGACAATACATGCTCATGTCTCACAGTCTTGCTCCTCCCCTCCCAAACCTTATATTAGGTGCTGCATTGTCAAATCCTTCTGACTCTGCAGATAGCATGTGCTATCTTGCCAGAGGGGAGATACTAAGGTGCTCCTTTAGTGAACAGGATGACAGTAATGGGACCATAAGCTCCTCGAGAAAGAGCAAGTACTCAAATGACACTCAAAAATCTTGTTATCTTTCACAGGTGCTTCTTAAGGCCCTCAAGAGTTAGATCCTGACAATCCTGGGTACCTATTCCCTACTCGAACCACATCACAACTGTTCAGGCTGTTTGGAACTGTCTCATCCACAAAGGCTCAGATGCAATTTTCCTAGATTGAAACTAGGCTATAAATTTCCTCAGGCCATTTCTCAGCAGGTGGCTTGGTTTAACAGGCTAATTTTCTCTTGACAGTACATTTACTAGTCTGAAAAAAACCACCTGCTTGTAATTGGTATATAGTATATTTTCATGTGCTTGTGTCTTTGGGTGTCCAACTATGTACAAACAATTAAAGAATTGTTTTACAGTACTCCCCAAGAGACAGAAAATGATTATTGGTCTTTTGAAAATGGCAATGCTTTATCCAAAGCCCAGATTTCCTGTGAGAACCGCATGCTTGTGTTCATATCAAGCCCTTCCCAGATTTTCAAACCATCACTGGTCTTTTTCAGAAAGGCACTCCCCTTTTTTTATCTGTGGATATGCTGAGTGAATTTCAAAGTGAAAAATATGTTTCACTGCACTGAGTTTGAGAGCAGACACAGAAACCCTAATGGCTGCCTGGGAGAGGTCATAAGTCACACCACCCTTTGGTGCCAGAGATCCACATCTGTAAGATGAGGAGCAGAATCTGTGACATGCTTTAGGACTATTAAACCCTGCTCTGTACTGTGTAGTTATAAGGTATATTCACTATATGTTTCTCCCATCTACTGCCAATAACCATACCACAACTAGGATAACATGCCAAGTTTGATGAATGGGGTAAGAAAGAGGTGTGAAGAGAGCAACTTCTCATTCATATAAATTAAACAACTCAGTAGTTCAACAAGTATTGGTGGAATGAAGAAGCCTTTTGCTTCTGCAAATCTAATTTTTCTACCCAATTGATCAGCTGACAATGGATAAATAGTTCTTCATACTTATTTGTCATTACACTGCCAGTATTACACACTGAATTAGACCAGGACTCGTTCAGACTTGAACAATGCCCTTTGAGACAGAGGAGATTCTACAGTCACAAAGTGGGTATAGAAGAGGAAATCAAGACTATAAATTTTCCAAATTTTATGCTATAAAATCTTCTAGATTCTGTGTTGCTTGCTCCACCAAATTAGAGAAGCACATTTAGATGAAACAAAGGGAAAATGGAACAGTGGAATTAATTTTCACTGGACATCTTAGAGGCCACAAGCTCAAAAGGAGATTAGATAAATTCCTAGGGGATTGGTATACCCTCCAGCTTCTGTTAATTAGCAGCTTAGGGACTACTTGAGCCTATGGTTGTATTTGGATCACAATGCTTAGTAACCCTTCATTGACCAGAGGATATCCTGGTAATTATCTTTATTTTCCCTCTACGCTATGCTACAGGCCATTAAAGAAAAGAACACCACCCCCTCCCCCCCAAAAAAAGGATTTTTGACCTGCTACAGCTGTTCTTTCCATATTACGTTACATTCTTACTGATGTCTCAGTTGTCCAATGCAACACTAGAGATATCCTTTTCAGACGTACAGTTTTGCAGAAAGAACTGGATAATTTTGGTATTCTAACATATTCCATAAGTGTGCTTGTAGCATACTTGTTCACAGTGCATTTCCAAACATAACAGTCTTGCAAGCCCCTGAAGGACATCTCCAAGGCAGCTGAAAAACATCTCTGCAGCTTCACACTTTGACCTGAACACATTAATATTAACAAGATAGACTGGAGGATGTTGAGAAAAGAGCAGCTAGTTTAATTAAAGGAACTGGAACATCCAAAAAGTTAAATATTACTCAAAATTACATCTGATGTAGATAATTTTAGTCAAAGTTCTGTGTAGACATAGTCTGTAATTAAAGAATTTGAAGAGGATAAGAAAGAAAGAAAGAAAGAAAGAAGGCCAGAATTCAGTATGTCTGTTTCCCATAATTCATCAGAAATCAACAACGAATAAGAAAAAAAAAATAGTAATTTGCAGGCCTTTGAAAAGTATTTCCACAGCTGCCACTTCTGATCTGAAAGACAATGTCAGTCTTTATTGACAGGATTTTTGCAGAGAAGTCACATATAGACATTAACAGCAAAATGGACCCCATAGTTTTTGGATGACTTAAATAAATGGTGCTTATTTTTCATCCACAGAGATAACAGCACTGAAACCAGCCAGCAATGAGGAGCTTTCTTCTCCAGGACAAGACATTAAGGCAATCACCCAGACCAACTGTAAATTTCTAAAAACTGGTTATCTAATCTACCCAGAGCCAGCAGCCTGCATACAGGATGGAGACACAGATGAACTGCATAGGTGAACTGCACTCACTGAGGCTTTCTGCATTGCATTGCAAGTGTTTATAGAACATGGCACAGAAAAAAAAGGCATTACAGAATAAGTATCATAAGGAAAACACTGTCAACATAAATCACTGTACTGAAATAACTTTCTAAGAAGTAGCAGACAAAATCTAACTTGAGCAAAGAATTAGAAAATGGAGTACAGGCAAAATTCTGCAAGTGGGCTATGGATTAGGCAGCTGTAGGGTTATCCCACTCAAATGCCTTCATTTAAGTTCAATTGTGAGCCTTCTCACCACAGACTTACAGATTAGATTTAAGGTCACTACTTGCCCCCCTTTCCCAATAATATTCACTATTTTTCATTAGTATTCCATAATTAAATTGTTTAACCAAATTTACTTGTGGAGAATGCACTCAGAGCAAGCATAGGCAGCAAAATCAGAACCCTTGCAGCACCAGTCAGAGCTACCATACCACAAAAATCATGTTTGTGTTCAGACACTCATTATAACTCAGAAGACTATTGAAAAAGAAACTGGTTTTATGAACCCAGAATTTATGTAAGATCTGTTTGAAAACCTTGAATGCTAGCATAGTAAAATAGCTCAATTCACAAGCAAATATATCTGTTTTCTTCTTTCACAATACAAAGTTAAAAAACTTTAAGCCTACCAAAAATCGATTAACGTTCATTTTTTAAAATACGAGAGTAGGAATACCAATAAAATTTGGACAAACTATTAGCTGGGATAGATGATTGCACCAATCTACCATCTGCAATAAATGTCTATCAGTAAAACTAATAATTGTTGACAACAGATAAACAGTAAATAAGGCTGCAGATCACTGCATTTTCATTAGGGTTTATGAAGATCAATTGCCTTGGAAAGCTAATGATGTTCCAGCAAAACAAGATCTGTATTGCTGATCAAAAGTAGCTACAGAAAATAATGAAATATTGAAATCCATTGTCTTCCCTCAGTGAGATTTTTTTAAGTTTTCCTCAGTTGCGTTGCACTGCTGACCACAGAAGCAAACGTTATTTCCAACTGAATCCCAGCCACAGAGCTGAAACAGGATGGATGACATGATGGGGAGGAAGAGGGATGAAGGCTCAGTACACAGTCAGGCAACTTCCTATTATGCTCCAGAGTAACGCTCCTTATCTTCACACAAACCCCTAGTAGCTTTCCAAGTCATCCTTCTTCAGCACTACCAGTGCAAGGGACAGAGCATCTGCATTTTCTGGGGAGTGAACCAACTACAGATATTCTGACCTCAACTACAGCTGCCAGCCCCGTTCAAACAAGATGCCACCTTAGAAAGACCTTCTCCTTTGCTTCCTTCTCTTGCCCATACAAGTGCATGCCACAAGTCCCCCAACTAACACCTTTTTAAGTTCTGGTTAGAAATCTCATCTATCTTGTTGTTAAAACATGATGAAGTCTTTTTCAGACCAAAGTCGAATCTTGCCTGGGGCTGGAGTGAGGTGCTCACCCAAGAGACAATCTCCACCCACTGCTCTTATGTGTGTGCTACCATGTCAGGTATATCTGGATGCCAGACAACCACAGTACACAAGATACAGCAGTGGTGTTGGCACCTGTGGCTTTTACCATGTGATAAAATCTATGGGACACTACCAAGTGCGTCAGGCTTTGCCTTCCCAGTCACTGTGGATGTACCTCTGAAGCAGAGAGTCCCTCCACATCCCAACCTGGCATGCCAGTTTTCCCTTTCACAGTCTTACACGTACTTCCTACTTTTGTTCTTCAATCTCATTTATTCATTCTTTACTGTGGGCATTCTGAGGTTGCTTCCACACAGATTTTAATGCTACAGGACAGCACTCATTAGTGTGGCACATTTTGTATTTCAAACATCAATGTACATGTAAGGCTTGGAGTGATTAACATTTAAGAACTGCCCAAGACAATTATGAGGCAGCTCTGTGCAGCTCATTCAACGCATCTCAGTGCTCAGTGTCACTGACAGAACTTCTCTCAGCAGGAGCATCCTTGTCAGCATGACAGCAGGCTAAGATCCCCCAGGCATATGGAGGGATCGAGAGAGGGCAAATTCCTCCTTCAATTAGTGCCAATCACACCCTGAAGCATACTGTCCATTACAGATTGCATGATGGCTTCCCACATTCAAGTTTTTCCACACATATTATGCATATCCTGCATAAAACATGAAAGGGCTATGGGATTATCTGGCTTTCTGCATTACTAAAATTAGTAATTTTAGTAATGACATGAACTGACAGCTCATGCTTATTTAACAGATGTCATTTGGTTCAACACTGAGGTTTCAAGCATTTCAACAATTTCTCAAAGTCTGAGTGACTTGCTTCATGGCTACAGAGAGATCCCAGTTTTAAATATCTGCCTCCCCAAATTGTCCTTATAGAGAATAAAGGTGGTTTTTTTTAAATGGATAACCAAAGTGACTAGTTCCATATCTCACACAAGGGACATGTCTACAACAAAACTTGCTGATACTTCAAGCAGTTCAGAAATCAAAACATCTAGGCTCAAGGCACAGTGTTCATTATTCTAATAAAAAAATTAGCAAATCCAGAGTGGGTTTTATGAAGCTTAATTCATGAAAAGGAAGAGAAAAAATTGCCCTTTCCACTAAGTTTCAATCAATGTAATAATTGCTGGCAAACATGTATTGTTCCAAACACTGCAAAGAACATGCTGTATTTTTTTAGTATTCTTCCCTATCAGTTAACGAAAATGGGTTACTGCTAAGGGAAAGATGATAAAGTTCTTTTCTGAACACAGGAAAAAATAATAAACAGGAAACAAGGCAGATTGAACTCTTACTTAGTTAATGAACATATGAATCTGAATATTATTTATTACTCTAGTAACTCTCATCTTCTAAACACCCCCACCTCCAACACTTGTCAATGTTCTTACCTGTCCACATTTACAGCGGGTTGGTGTGAAACAATCACATGTGTGCAGGCGGTGGGTGTCCCATTGTGCGGAGATTCTGTTGCATGCGGAAGCTGAGGTCCTGCTGCAGGTTCCAAGGGAGATGCAGGACTCGCTGTGACTGGAGAGAGAAAACATGTTTTCATAAATACAAGCAAAAGCATCTACCTGCAGACTAGGGTAAAAAATTTTCTACAAAAGCCAGCACAGCCAAGGCAAGATACAATTTTAAAAAATACGGCTCCCACACCCTCCCTCCCTCCCTCCCCTCCCATCTCCTTTGTTGAGTTTTTGGGCACACAAGCCCTGTTTCAGGTCCAAAGTAAATGTCACAGATTTCAAAGCTGTATCTTTGCAAACAAGAATAAACATTTTACAATGATATGCATAATTCCAACACATAAGCCAGTGGTCAAAATAGGCTGGTATCTGATAGAATATTATGCTGGTGCTTTCTAAGTAGCAATAGGAATAGGAGAACACTGGAACATCACCAATTCCATACACTGGTATTTCTTGGTTCCAGTAACCCAGAAGGAAATCAAGAGGAAAAAAAAAATCTTCATTGGGAAGGATACTTCTTTCAACAAGTACCAAATCATTACTATAAAACATTGGAGAGAGCAACATAAAATTAGCCTATCCTTGTCCCTCATGCTGAGATCATGTGATAGATGTTACTGGCCTGCCTTTCATTTTTCTCTTAAAGTACAACTACAGCCTTCTGTATTGTGTCTACAGTCACACTAATTCACATACAGGTGAAGCAACCATGCTAGCATCTGTTACAGCAATTGCAAGGACAATTCAGTATTCACAGGCTTGGACACATTTATCTCCATTACCCAAACCCTCATCTGATAAGCCCTTCCTTCAGCTGCTCTGTTTCACTATACTCTAAATGCTTGGGCTGAAGTCTTCTATACTGAATATCTTAGTCTCACCTTTGGCAAATTTTTATATGGAAGATATTAGAAAGAGAGGTTTCTGTGCTTCTACAAATGGAATAACAGGAACATATATTTGCTTTAACATTTCAAAGGAAAAAGCAGAAGAAAAAGTTGTTCTGCTTTGGAAATGCAGAGCTACTTCCTATTTTGAAGCAGAGGCCAAACAAATGATAAAAAGGTGATGAATTTAGTTTTATTGTGTTATTTGCCCATTCCCATAAAGGTCTCCTCAAGTTTTGCCAAACAGTAAGACTTGGGGAAAAATTTTAAAAACCCAATGTTTGTATATAGTCAGAGGTCTGATAGAGTGCAACATGGAAACTCAGGTGGCCAGAATATGTCCATTAATCCATATGTTTAACTCTGTCATATCTAGATAATGCAAAGCCAAACAGCAGAGCAGCCCTGAGGGTGAGGGCAGTTTTGTCTTTATTCAGTCATTCAAGGATACCAGCCTTCCCTTGGGGCTGGGGAAATCAAGATCCAAAGTCTCCTCTGCCTTAGGAAACTGACTACTTGTCTTCTATCTCTAGAGGCAAAGCACTAGCAAAAGCTTATAGAGCCATTTATAGTTTCAGAAATTATTTAAATCGTTTATAGCACCTTCAACAGTGCCCACAGACAAAGATGGCATCCCAGATGTGTTCTGTATCAGTTGCTCACAAACTTCTTTCACCAAGATAATATGTAAACAAAAAACTTCTAAACAAAAAAACTTCCAAACACAAGTCATCTGCATCAAAGTGTTTCCTGACAGTGCTAATTTATAGTGTTCACTTCAAACATTAACACAAAAGTCATCCATCAGCCAGCACTGCTGCCTTCCCTGTTATTCAGCTCAAATGCAAAGGAGAAAAAGATTAATGTCATTTAATATGTTATGCTACAATAGGGTAAACTATTTCATAGCTTGACTTCAGTATCTTTCAATAGTGCTACTTAACACTTGGTGATTGCTGGATATAAGCTATGTTTTATTTTTCTTCCTTTATTTTAAGTATTAAGTCTTATATAGAAATTTACCTAAAACAAAATAAAAAGATAGAGGGAATGGAAGAGAAGAAAAGATTAAGAGCACAGGTGTGACAAAGAGAGTGTTTCTAGTAGTTCAATTTTGTCAAAAAAAGAAATAAAGACCAAAGGAATAAGGCAGCAGGTATGAAAGAAAGAAGTCACAGAGAGATGTTTAGAATAATTAACTGTTTTGATGAAATAATCTTTTAAGATAACGAGTAAATCTGCAACAACCACAGTTGAAATAATATAAAAAAAGAAACTGTAGAATCCGTTTCTTTTGCGATCAAATCACAAAATAATTTGTTTCTTTTCACTTTATAAATAATTAAACTCATTAAGCCACTTCCTCTTGTTAAACACCAATGTGACGAAGTTGCTAAACCATTGGACTCATTTATTAATGGCTAGCTACCCATACAGAAAGGCTAAATAAGTAATGTCTGCTAAGATTTCAGTTATACAACCCTCATGGTTTTCTTTACTGCAATTAATGTGTCAAGTTTCAGAACTGTATCTCAAGTCATTGTGCTTAGTAGGCATTTATTCACCTGTTGTGCTCAAGGCACAGTTAAACACAATACCTGCTTCTCCAGTAATATTTGTCTTTGATATATGTCCATTTTGCTGGTCATTGGGTTTCTACAAAGGAAGCACAGTTTTGTAAGTTAAAAACGGCACTAGGGAAAAGACGTGAAACATATTCAATATTTACACACTAAGTAGCAGCACCGACCTTATCTACAGCTTCTACACGCCTAGTTCTCTTCATGATCTCTTCAAGCCTCTACAATGAAATGTAAAGGGGTAAAATAAGGTTTGCTGGCATTAATTTGAATATATCTCTCCCAAAACATAACTGCTTGTCATTTATCAGCTGTATCTGTTTATTGCAAAAAGATGAATTATTATTGGCAATAATCCGTTCACTGTCACATCAGGCCAGTGAGGACTGCAGCCTTTCTGAGAGCACATTTATATCATGGATAACTTTCTATTACTGAGATGGAAGCAGACTGCTAAGGCAAAACCAATTACAATTTCTCTGCATGTACTGAGTTACCTTCTTCCTTTCCAAGCGCTCTTGCTCTTCTCTTTGGAAATGCTTTTCACGTTCTAATCGAATCCGCTCTGCCTCTTCCCGTAGGCGAGCTTCCTCTTCTTTCTACGTTGATGGTAAAAGAAAAAGAAGGAATACTTTACTATTTAAGGACAGTCTTACACTGTCTGCTTAACTATGCATATCTACAATACCCTGAAAAGACACCAGACATCATATTTGGTTCTGTGCCTGTTCTGTAGCACACCAGATGACAAATAGGGAATAAATTTCCTAGCCTTCAGCATTAAAACAGCAGACAGGAAAGTATTAAAGAGATCGATGTTTTGAGTAGTTTTTGAGAGTAAAACAAAAGTAGTAGAATGTTTTGCTTGGCCAGCAGAGTAATTCTTTAACAAGACCAAGGACAAGAACAAACTTTCCATTTCTGTTTTTTTAATGAAATGCAAAACTTCTCTGGAATACCTTGCTCCCTGACAGTGACAGTGTTGTATGATAAAACTACTACAACAGATCATTTGTTAAAGCTATAATATCCAAAAGAGCCTTGGCCATGCACTATCTCTGACTGCTAAACCGAGATAAACCTCAGGTAAACATTTCAAAGAAAGTAGCACACATCTTCTGAAAAAGAAGAATGGAGTTTCTAAGCCATATTCACTAACACAATCATTTAAACATTTATTATCAGAAGCATACATTTATATACCAGGAGAAAATCTTGTGTCTATGAGGCAAATTGAAGTGCTGAATGTTGGAGCAAGAGCACATGCAAGAAGAGAAGAATCCTATCTAGAATGCTTAACACAGCCTCTCCTAAAGTCAGGAAACCAACATTATGCCCATTCAAAAATGAAAGCACCTGAAAAAACCTAATTTTAGTTTATTTACTCTTTTTTATGTCTTTTGAGTAGCTGCTCTGATTTCAGGAGGACTGCACCGGGTAAAGGTTCTGCTTGGTTTTACTGAAGTTATCAAAACCTACCCCTTCCCGCTAGCCCCACACAAAAGCAATATTTGGCACAGGATTAGAACTCAGCAGTACTGTGTCTCCAACACAGTGAACTCTTTGCATCTAGACTTTCTGTAAGAGCTAGGACAAAGAATTCTCTGGTGTAACACCATTCATCAAAATTCCCCAATACAATTCTATTGATATTTTCGTCATGAATCAGGAATAGGAAAGGATTTGCTCTAAATACAATCTAAGGGGAGGGGAAAAAAAACAAAACAAAACTCAACTCCCTACCACATGTTTTTGTCAAGTAGAAATATCTTTACTCTTTGAACTACTCTATGGAATGAACCCTTGCCTCGACACTATTCACTTTATAGATGGCATTTAAATTTTAGATATTGCTCTAATCTAGGTGGTGTGTAAGCAGTGCTGCTTCATCCAACTCTATGCCAACCAGACTGGCATAGAAATTCCAAGAGGGGAGCATACTTGTTTCTGAATGCGCTCCATCTCTTCTTTCTCCTTCTGTTCCCTCTCTTCTGCCTGGCGGCGCAGCCGTTCTTCCCTTTCCCGCTCCTCCTCTGCATCCTTCCTTTTTTTTTCTGCTTCTTGTCTGCGAGCTTCTTCCTCTTCTCGGCGAGCTCTTTCTTCAGCTATCCTCTGTGACAGCTCCTCCTTCTTTTGTCTGCAATCATTAAAAAAGCATAAGAAAAAAAAGTCATAAAAGGAGGGGGGAAACCCAAACCACCAGACTCCTAATCCAACCCTACGGAACAACTGGATATAGGATGCACTGCTGTCTCATTCCTAAGTTGTCTGTTCTGCTTCCTGTAGAGGCCAAACATGAAGCCCTATGAAATATAAAAAACTCTGCAAGGCAATACCAATACTTCTCCAGCACATGTGTGCCAATCTATGACTCGCATACATTCTGAGTAAGAAACAGTATCATTGACTAATACATTTTGCATAACACTTCTTTTTGTAATTTCATATAATCATATTTTTAAACAGTATGTATTTTTGGCACCCATCTTATCTCATGGCAATGGTTCCTTAATTTAAAAGAAGTATCTAATTCTCCTGATTTTCGGTTATGTCCTAACACAACCTAATGGCTTTTCATCCTTGTATTATGAGAGTAACTTTTCCCCTTCACTTTTGATGTTACCCTAATTATTTAGGACTTTTTAGCCTATCATATCCCTGCTCAGAAGTAGAGGGTAGATGGTCTTCCCAGCTGAAGAATTCTCACCTGTTCAGTAGATTTTCATATGGGAGCTGTTCTGCACTTGTGACCTTCCTTGATGTCTGTCTGCATTTATTTTCCTAGTTTTACAGATTTTACTATCTCAAAAAAATATAAAACTCAACAATCAAGATGTAGATTAATCTTGAACAGTTCAGAATGACATTTTCATTTTGTTCTCATTTTCTAGTAGCTTGTAACAATTCATTTACTTTTTGACCATGACTCACCTGATATTTTCATACATTGAAGTCCAAACAAGATCTCTTCCCTCAGAATAATTTGCCCAGAGACCACCAACACAGGAGTTAAGTTAGGATTATTTCCTATACACATTCCTTTATTCTTAGCAGTACAGCAATTCAGCTTCCGTTTTGTATTTTAGCAATAGAAGGTATGTCAGAACCTCTTCACAACTGCCTTATCTCACTGAAGATTCACAGTATTAACCCACAACAGCATTATCTCACTGGCCTCAAGTCCTTTCAAATTCGTTTATGAAGGTGCTGCAGACACTGGAAACTCCTTTCACTGCGAAAGCTGATTATTCTTTAATTTTTATTTTTGATCTTTCAGTCTTAGTATTTATTCACCATGTTACTCTTATGCCACAGCAGCTTTTTTCTTTAAAACTCTTTTTAAGAGGGTCAGTATTGTGAGCCTATTGGAAAGCCAGTCTATTTTAACTGCTCAGCCTTGTTCCTATTAGCAAAGTTGTTCAAGAAGTCCAACAAATTCCAGAGGCATGGCATCCCTCTACAAAAGCACTCAACTTGTGCTGTAGCCACAGTTGTAAGTATCCAGATAGGCAACTCATTTGCTAGTAGAAAGTGAGATGCAACAATTACCCTCCAAAATGGTTGCGGGGGTGTCTTTAACTGAGAAAACAAAGAGGCTTAAGTCACAAGGGTTGGACACCTAAAACACTACCTGTGGTAGAGACCTTACAATTTAGAGACACTGCGCCAATCACAAAGTTGGAAACAGATGTAGAGAGTTCTCTAGCTGGAACAAATAAGTACAGCTTTGTTAATCTCTGAGGAAACAATATAACAGCAGAATATATACAGGAGGCTGCTAAAAATGTATCTTCTCCACTGGAGAGGTCTAGAATTACCTTTCAAGCTCTTCTCTCTCTCTCCTTTCTTGCTCCTCCCGTTCCCGCTGCTCACGGGCAAGGCGCCTCTTCTCAGTCAGCAGCCTTGTTGCCTCTTCAGGGTCAGTTGTACCTGCAGAGGTCTTGGGGGGTGCTGGGGGTGGAGCAAGAGCTGGTGGAGCAGGAGGTAGGGATGGGCTGGCTGCTGAAACAGATGGGGGGAAAAAACTAGTATGTACAGACCCAGTAGCCAAGATGTCACTCTCTTGAAAGGAACAGAAAGTATTTTCAAAATATTTTCAAGCTTATGTAGTTTTATAAATGATCCAGAGAAGGAAGTCATATACCTTAAGGGAAGTTTGCTTTTGCAGGATATGTGAAAGCAGCTGCAGTTGAAAAGGTAAGTCAACTTTTTTGTCAGAACAAATGTTGACAAGTGCTCAACAGGAGTTATACTGACTCAGCAAGTCCCTACTATCACATTTCCTAAGTTTGCCCAATTCTATTTGGAGAGCAGAAATGAAACATTGTGAAATTATATTTTCTTCTGTCTGAGAATCTACATTCAAAGAGCAGAGCTAGACTTTTTGGTGATAGGCCAGTCACTTGTAGTGACTTGGTGATCTCAAACATCAACTGTCTGAAGTGATCTGGACTAAGGGTAGGACACCAGCTATCATCAATTTTGCAGCAGCTTCAACCTGAGGCAACTCGTGGGATCAGAGCACAGCATCTTAATGAATTTTGCTGCTATTGGTGAACCATGGCTTGTGTTCAAATCTTAATAGTGCCTTCATTTCAATTCTTTATTCAGGGCCAGCTTTGTCCACTTGGCAGAGATGATGTTACGGGTTTTTCTTAAGTAAAAGACTAGTTCACATTTCTGTAAGTTTGCCTGGCATTCTCTAGCTCAGGTACAGAGTGCCTCAACCACACCTTTTCTCTAGGCACTAGGGACCATTACCAACACACAAGCTATCTGGAGGAAGCATTCCCATGTTAATCACATCCGGTAATCCAGACAAGCATGGATAGGGAAGACTTTGAACTGTCAATGGAATCATATTCTGATCCTAGGAATATGCATGTAAAGTAAGTCATAAGGAACAGCTAGGAGATGGTTTTAAATCTACATATCTAACCACCCACTGGGATGTGACAGGAGTTTCCTCACCTCATTAACAACTTCCAAAGAGGGGTTTCCTCCCTGATCCCCCCCCCATACCTTGTCATGTATACAAACATAAATTCAGCTGCTTTCTGTGCTGAATTCACATCTGCTGACCTCTCTGCTCTGTTATCAACTAAAAACTACACAAGTCTTTCTAAAACTGCTTCAGGGCTTTCATCTTGAATTCAAATGTAACTTGAATTTTAAATTACTACACCAGTAATTTAAAGAGTGCCAGGGCCTGTTCTCTACCCCTGAGGTGAGCTGGCACAGTTTAGCACTAGAGCAATAGAGCACTATTCTCTCATTACCAAAACAGGTATTCAGTCCAACCCCACAGAACAGGCTGGACCTCAGCTAGCTTCCAAGATGTAGCTGGGAACTCAGAAAATTCTGGGATGTTCAAATATAAAAAGGCAAGTAATTTGATCACACTAAATTGTGAGAGCCCTTTAGAGCCATGCTCTTAGTAGCCTTGGGGACAGAAGGTAAGAAAATGAGAGGCTGCAATTACAGCCTGGATCAGAAACATACCAGAGAGCCTTTGTAATTGTTAAACAGCATAAATGACAAAGTTCCTACACCTCAGCTCTTTTTAATTTACTAACATGGGCCAAAGCAGGGCCATCTCTTTGAAGGGAGCACAGCTCTGTGCTGCTTGGGGCTCATTTCTTGCTGCAGGCGCTGAAGTTGGCAGCATAACAAGTAGCTTGTTTAATGCACACCTGCCCTGCTGTCAGAAAAGGTAACACCCAAAAGACTTTTAAAACTTCATTGGTGTTAGTAAAGTTGCGTGAGATTTGCCTGCAAAAGCTTGAACAGCTTCGTTGGCAATCGCTAGCTGCTGACCTCCTGGCTCCTCCAGCGGGTAGCTGAGTCAGACCAGTTAAAGGCCAGTGCTATTAACTGTAAGAAATGAGCTATATTCACATGAAACACAGTCCCAGGAGAATCAGCAACATTCCTCTAAGCTCCAAATGCTGTACTTGCACATCTCTAGATTCTTGAATGCAACCAGTGACTAAGTTTTAGCAGCTGGGGCCTCCATCTGCAGCACAAAGCCTGTCCTCTAACCTCACATGTAAAATGCTTTTCCTGATGTCTCTATCTTTGGTTCCAACCACCACCTCCTTGGGCTTTGGGAAAAGACATTCAATTTGAAGTGCTGCTCGCCCCTTTGACTATAGTATCCTTTTCTTTCACTTGTCTCCACTTTGTATTCTTTTTTGTATTCTTTGCTGTGAATACAGACTACTTCACTTTTGAATACCTTTATCACACATAAGCTGTTTCAATACTAAGAGACTTTATCACAAATTCAAATATTGACTGACTCTGCAAAGAAGTGAAGCCTCTTCCTCCTGAACTGAATTGTCAAACAAGCATGATGATGTTTCTCTGGTCTGCACCTTGTACTGGGGAACTACAACTTGAAAACATTTGCAAAGTTATCCCAGTGGCATCCCTGAAATGGTTTTAAAAGGAAATTTTCTCCTTAAAAGGAAGCAGTCAAAAGATTATCAGAGGAGCAGTAAAAACTTATGCTAACATGGCAATTATATCTCCTTTACATTCCCACAGCCAACAGATATATTCATTTATTATTGTAAAATTCTACCTCTTTGTGGGGTTCCACCTTGTGTGGTAGGACCTGGGTATCAGACAGGAACTATTGTAACAGAACTTACTAGAACATAAGAAATGTTCTCATTCACATGAGGTTGTCTCATGGAACAAGACCCAACTACACTTCTTACAATTAAATGCAGGATTACTAATGCTTAAAACTGTTGTCTGAAAAACAATCACAGGGGATTCTACAAATTTTAAGTTCAAAATCCTAAGTAACCCAACTTGTGTATCCCTGTGGTCACAATGGACTTTCTATCCCATCTGCGAGAAACAGCTTATGCCATATTTACAATGGATTGAAACGTCTGCCACAAGAAAACTACATTTTTTCATTTTCAAATTTATCTTTTGCCCTTTCTATATTTTATCATAATTATTTTATTTTTTGTGTACATCCTTTTCTTCTCTGCTGCTTTTCAGGTTTTTGGGGTTTTGTGTGGGCTTTTGGTTTGTTTGTTTGTTTGCTTTCCCTGAAAAATTCTGCCTATTCCTCTTTACTCCTCTCCTTGGTTCTTTGCATTCCACTTTATTGTGCTAATCTATCCCATGATATGGTCCTCTTGTAATAGTACAGATAAGTTAACAGTGTTAGCAGCATAACTGTACTGAGTGTCCAGCAGAGCTGGACATTCTCAATGCTCACACTACCTTATGTGGTGGATTCCTGTACCATTAGTATTCAGATCATTATTATTCTACTCCAACTGTTTGTAAAGAAGCTGTGTTATGATATAGGGGACAAAATTCCAATCCAAAAGGGCAGAAAGAGGCCTGTGAAGCCACACTGTGTGAGGTACCTCTGCATGTTGTTTTGACTTAGAAGCAGGAGGGCTTCAACCTGTTTACAATTTCCTCATAACATACATGTGCAGGAATGTTCTGAATAATTTAAATTAACATTTGACAGAAAACTACTGAAAGCTACATCATTGCAGAGAAAGGGAGGGAAGAACATAAGAGACTCTAACACATTCCTTAACTTAAAGGAAGATCTCTCCTTACCTTGAGTGGGCTCTGCCTGGACAGTGAGCTGTTCCTGACTTGAAGATTCTCCAGCACCTGCTGAAGTTCCTTTACTTTCTTCTGTCCTCTCCTCATTGGCCTTTCCAGCCTCTTTTTCTGGTCTTTTCTTCTCACCCTCTGGCTTGACCTCTTTTTTGAGTGGCCGGATGTTGCCAGGAGAAGGAGGACGTGTCTGAGCAGAGGAAATTTTGGAGGAACCAGGTGGGGAAGTAATCTGCTTGGGTGTGCCAGGCAAAAAAGGCAAAGATTTTGACGCACGCCTGGGTAATCAAAGAGTGACAATGTTGGTTTCCACCTATATATCACTTCTACAACGACAGTAGCTAAAAATAAAACCATCTCTCTGTTTCTCTATCAAGCAGGACTGCTGGCACAACTGATTTAGTTTCATGCAAAATGCCTCTCTTTGCAGCTCCCCATATCTGTGAGCACTGAGCCCAGCCAGGAGGGAAGAAATCACATTTTCCTCCCCACTTCCCCTTCCTCAGAGAAACAGTAATATTTCTTTAAAAGTAGGACTGTCTTTCTTTTTTGCAGAGAGAAAACATCTACATAACCAAATAAGTTTGCACTGTTTCACATTTAACTAATAGAACAATCAGAGCTGCCTATAGCACATCTCCAGCTAAGCGTGTACTTGACTTACCAAACTGGAGAGGGAGCTGGTGATCTAGCTTTGGGGTTGGAAGTAAAATAACCTCCTTTAAAGTTGGCCGAGAAGCTGGATGACAAATAGTCTCTCTCCTTTTCTTTTTTGTCAGTCTACAACTCAGCAAACAAAAAGACAAAGTCAAGCCAGAGTTCACACAGCTAAAGAAAGCAAAGCAAGCTCAGTTAAGAATGAGGAGTTGGGGGCTGATGAAAAGCAGTCCTGAGTTAGTAGTTTCTACAGCTTGTTTAACAAGTTCATTAATATAGCTCCTGTAACCTGACACCATTTTTGTCAGTAAATACACAGTTGACAGCAAGAATCTTTCTTAATCGTTCTCTACTGTCCCAAGATGTAATGGGCTAATTTGCAGAGGTTTATTTTTACATCTTTGATCTTTGCTGATTGCCACAGAGCACCCTCCACTACTTCCCATATATCCAGGATTTTCTTGGAAGAAAGAGCAAAACGAGCCTCTGCCCTCAGCTCATACTTAGTCACAGTCTTCCCATATAGCACAAGTTTTTGTGTTCATGCTCACATGTGAATGCCACCGATGTCCTCAAAGATCTCAAATGTGGTACAAGAGTTATCCTATTCTTTTTTTCTTGGGTGATTTCACCATTAGTACATGGTACTAATCACATGGTAGTCATTTCCTTTTTCCTTCTTTATTTTTAAAAAATAAAATCTTACGTTGAGAAACATTTCTGTTACAGCTCTGGTCTGTATTAACAGAAGAAGGAATATATCAGAACTTAGGCATTTATGTACTTCCCCTATTTAGGTATAAATGAAAAAAATTATGGTTTTGAAACAATGAGCTCAGACTCCGGGAGTTGAAGAATGGGAATACTGGAGAGTATGCTCAGCTGCCACTCAGCCAATATGATGCAGAGGCTGCTACTCACCACCTCAGCTGGGGCTTAAACGCAACCCCTGCAGAAGGTGTATCATGATACTCTAGAGGCTCACTAGCTGAGAGCTCTGCAATGCTCATCCCCTGAACTGAAAACCAGGTTAACAACTGGAAAAGAAAGGCTGAAAACAACTTAATGAGCACATGATGCGCTGAGTTATCAAAGCATACACAACCAGAATAAATGCATTACAGTGAAAAAGAATTTTGGCTTGCTAGCGAGAACTCTCTATTGGATCTACTTTATTAGTACTGAAAGCAGACCATCAGAAAATTTTTCTTAATATCAATAAAGTAAAAAGCTGAATTCCTACAGAAGTTCACAGAAGAATAAAAGATTCTCCACACCATACAGGCTACTGAAAACAGCTCTTAACTTACTCATTTTATATTAACATTTTTACATCATCTCCTCCATTAAAAAGTAACAACCTCTCTTCTTTCTAATTTAGGAAAAAAAAAAAGCCAAAACCCAAACCACTTGCAACGAGAGAGACTCAAGAGGAAGAGGCATTAAACCAATAGGCCTGGAGATTGCAATGCACTATGCACATGCAATGAAATTTCTCTACAGATACATTCCAATGCTATGCCTGATCTGAAACTTCAGTATACTATCATCTGCCTGAAAGACTAAGTACTGGCTATGATTCATGCCATTTTGATTAACACTGCTTCCAACAAGGATGTCAATAGCAGCCATCAGGTTGAACTAAAACGCAAGCACCTCTTACACAATCATTTGCAGAAATGACTTCCACTCTTCTCACGTTCTGAACAAACTCAGGCGGTAGAGTACAAGGAAAAATATAAATGCTCAGGTTCAGTGAATGATATCTGAACTGGATGTGACTGCATCCCTTTGGCATGGAGCACAGTCAACATGAATTTGTTCTGCCTGCATCACACTGTTATGATTTTCCCGAAAAGCTCAGTTCAGTCATGGTACGGCTACAAAATCACTCAGAATGAAGAGGTGACCTGTGGAAAGCCTTGCTTACAAACCATGCTCCTGAACTAACCTCTTCCTTCTCAATGAGGAAAAGTTTACTAGTCTGGTCTCCTAAGAAAGTACAGATGAAGGGATAGTGCTCTGTGTGCTTGTGTATAGAGACGTGTGAGTGCATGCATTCCCCTTTCTTTATTCTAGAGGCTCAGATGAATTTTTTAGAGGTCTCAGAAGATAGGAAATTCTGCAAGCTTTGTGAAACCAGGTTGCTGGGAAAAGTAGGTTCCCCAGTGAGGGAAAAGTTGCAACACCACCTTGGGCCTTAAAAACACAGCAAAGAATCCAGTTAAGTACAGGGCACACTCACTGTGACTGCCTCTGCGCCTCATGAGAAGCTAAGGCATCTGCTCTGCAAACATGGGTGTTTGGAAAACATTGGTGTTTTCCCACATGGATTCTTTGGTGCATAATCAGACTGTGTCACCACATAACATAGCATGTTTCAGTTAAAATCCAGCCAACTATGACCCAAACTGGAGGGGATGTGAACAGCGATGAGGGGAGTAAGTATCCCTGCAGCTGTTCCAGTGCTACAAGCAATGCAATGAGGTGGTCATGGCATGAGACACTAAGCTCATGTAGAGTTGGCAGACTTACCCCTGGAAGGTGTGTTGTTGTTCTCCTACGTCCAACGGCATCAGTAGAAGCGTAAAGCTTTGCTCGGTCTCCTGAATTCCTAAAGTTCATGGCCTTGTAGGACAGAGGACTGATGGGGCTGCAAGATGCTGAACGGGGACAAACGGGGATAACTACGGTGTTGGTTGGTTTTGTTATTTATTAGTTTTAATAACAGAGTTGCATTGGAGAATGACAGAGGAAAGCCAGCAGGAACAGAAACAACAGAGAAAGACAGAAAAGAGAGAAGATATTAATACATAGAGAAATGACTAATTCTTAAGTCAGAACCATCATTTGATATGTTAGCTTGGCCACACATGCAGTAATGATAGAATTTCAGTAAGTGTTCATGTATTTTTCCATTTGTAAACTAATAATTTCCTTTAAAAAAAATTAAGAAGTATGCCACAATACTGAGTAGTAGACAGTAATGATGTTTTCCTGTCAAGTTTTTATACAACTGATGGTTCTGAAAAAGCAGTGGAAACAATGGCTGGTCTAACTGATTAGCTTAGTAGATGCATTGAAATGAGTTTCAATTACATTCAGAATAGAAAACAATCAAACTAAAATCAGAATGCCTATTAATTGCATTGGAAGTGAAGAAAAATTAAAGGAGACATCCACACAAAGATCAAAACACATTAACAATACAAAACAGTTTCACCTAGGAAATCAATGAAATCGCTGTCTACGATTTTTAGCAAGTGATGTGCTTTTAAAAATCCTTCTTTTTACAAATATTTTAGCCCATCATATTTCTTGATAATGCTAGAATAACAACTGACTCAAATACATTCTCAACAGCCAACTATTTTACACATTAAAAAAAGCAGGTTCACAACAACAAATCAACTTGGAAGTCAGTATTTGAGTAACCAGGATGGCAGTTTTTGTTGGTTGCACAAGGAAAAAGACTATGACCAAAAGATCACCTGACAATAGCAGGTGTCAGATATACAGTATTTTGAGTATTTCTTCAAAGAGAATTGTAACACTTCAAAACATATCATGGGGAACTTCTTGCAGCAAAGTGTTCTTGGACTTTCTCTTGATTTAACTGAAGGAGAAGGTTGGGAAAAACTATGTTATTACTGCAGAGTTTTATTTGTGTGCTCCTGTTAGTCTCTCCTAGTCATTTAATAGAATTTTAGCATAACTATTATCCAGCATGTTACTTGAAGAAAAAAATAGGGCCTCTCGTATATCTTCCCTACTCTTTTTGTTTTTCCAAGTAAGAGAAATTTACATCCTCAGTTTCTGTGGTAAAAACAAATCAATATTTCTTGCCTGTAGATCCCTCTGAGCCCACTTGAAAGAATGCAGTTCCACATACAGTTAATTCTTCCAGTCTTACAACAGTACAGCTGCTGTTACAGGAAGAGCTCATAGAATTAACAGTACTAATGCTGCAAATTCTCCTACACCAGGAGATTAACGTTAGGAATAAAGAGGGTCTCATGTAAGTGTTACAGCAATGGCACTCATGCTTGCCTTATACTTTATAGGGATTTATGTTTAATAAGGTATTATGACTGACTTTAAAACAAGCAAGAAACAAAAAACCGGGCATTTTCGTTTGTGTTTTTGTTTTGGTTGAGGTTATCTAAACCAAATCGGAGGCAGTGGCATAATATAAGTTTTACAGAGGTTCTAATTCATGGGGTTCCCTCTCTGTGATTCAATTCCCTTTCTCCATGCTGATTATCTGAAGTTACCACCACGGATGACATTTGCAAGAATTAAAAGACAAGCAGTTCATTTTCATTTGCGATGTTGCCAAACAATGTTTTAGGAAGTACTCCCAGTGATTCATATACTAACAGGATTACATCTATTCAGAGGAGCTTTATGAGAGCTATTTAAAAAATATTTTGGTCTGGGAGGATTTATTTAAAAAAAAGATCCAGATGTGCTCTTTTGCTGGATGTCCCTAATAGCTCACTTAAAATTTAGGACGTGAACCCATATTTAATCCAGTTTGTACTTTTTTGCATTGTAATTTATCTTTACAGCCAAAGGGCAGGGTAATTCCCTAGAGAATAATGGCAGGCTGGGATGAGCGGAGTGCTCAGAGCACATCTGTGAGCCATTGCCATCACCTGATCATTAACCTCCAGGAAGCATCCTGCATGAAGGGGCTGCAGGATAAGACCTGCAATAATAGCTGGAAAACAATAAGTGGATGGATTATTCTTCTGGGTGGTACAGTTCCAGTTAGCACAGGGAAGGTATTTCATGGAATTGCCTTAGACTGACAAACCAGTCTTTCCTGATATTTGTAGTCTTTCTCAATATTCCACTCGGTTTAGAGCTTATTGTGCAAAATAAACAGCAGCAGTCATGAAAAGCTTCACACTTGCTCTAGTAAAGTAACCACTTACAAATTTAAGACACTAACTTCTCAACTATTCCCTAATGAAGAGCTGAATTTCCAATATCCTCCTTGGTAGATTACATTAAATATTAATTTTACAAGGTATTATTTGTGAAGAGTGAAAAGGAATTTTGCACTTGTTAATTCCCCTACTTGCAGAATATCATCCACATTTTTGCTCCTACAGCACTACCCCTGTGGAAATGTACTACAGCCTAATTAGTTATAAGAGTTCTTAAGTGAAAGCTTCTTTAAAAGTAATCTTAGCAGATCTCTATTCCTTCTTACCTTCTATGTTCTTTAATTAGAATCAAAATCCTGTCCACATCAGACAAGAAAGACCTGCCTAGACATACACATTCAGCATGTCCAGCAATATATTCTTGTAAAGGTAAAGTCCCCAGTGGATGATTATAAAACATCCTATGATAAAAGAAGAGGCAGCAGTCACCTGTCTAAAATACATGATAAGCAACTATGCCCCGGTTGTCTTTGGAATACAGTTTTGCTTGGGCTTTCAGTTACCACCTAGGAATATCATCACATTTCTGCATGTTAATTTTCCCCTCAGTGAGTACATCAGGGAGCTGTTCTGGGGTTGGCAGAGAGCTTTAAAATTATTATAACCTGACTAAACCCGCACATTTAAGTTCACATGTATTAAATGCACAGTAACCAGGGCCTATCTTTATACAAGTCTAACTTGTTCCCTGTGGGAAGTGCTCTGGGGTGGGGTGAAACTCCTTTGCAGCAAGCAGCTCACAGCCTTAGCAGTGGATGTGCTGAATCAGCTGTTTACAAGATCGTGTGCATTTCCTTAAACAGCCATGGACACTGTGATGTTGTTGCCCTGCATGTTTTGTGTTCATTTATTGCACTGATGAAGAGGCAAAACAAATTAAGAAAGAGGGGGTAGGAGAAAGAGGCATAGCAAACAACTGTACAAACAAGCTTTCATGCAAACTAATTGTGGACATTCAACCTCACTCTGGGGTGCCACCATACACTCATAATTAGATCAATGACTTTACAACATCCATCAGGGAAGCTGGAAAAAAGTGTCTGAGACATGAAGCCTCTGTTCTTAAAGGATTACCTGCATCTCCAGACAATGCAGCTGTGCTTTTACTTCGGGCCAGGAATGAGTGAGTGGGCGTCAGGAGCCTGCTAACAATGCTGCTCTCCCATGGACTGAGCTGAAGACGGCGAGCTGAATGTGCACCATACAAGCAAGATGTTAGATCAAACACTTCACAAATAATTACATGCTAGAGCAGTATTAGTACTATTTCCTCACTACTGCATACCATCAAAATCTTAAAACTGTCCTTCAGAGATCAAAAGCATACAATAGTTCAGTGGTTTGCATTTTATTATTACACCATTTCAGCAGAAGAATTCCTATAGAAGCACATATATCTGAACATTTAATTTTTCCTACTGCCTGTGGCATTATGGCAACTTGTTATCAAATTAATACTGATATTTTGCACATACATCACATTCCATATTAGGAACAACTAATATGTAGACTCCCAAATATAGATTTCAGAGATGTTTACGTCCCAAACTCTTTCTACATAGAAGTCTTCTAGTTACAGTAAAACACCTTCCAAAGTCTGCCAACCTAGCTAGAAAAAACAAAGGTTGCTTACTACTATACAAAGAATTGTGTCAGAGGTTTTATCAAAGCATTGCAAAAGGACAGCGCACCTCAACTGCAGACACAAAACTCATCAGCTACAGTTGTCTCAGTAATACATGAAGCCACAGAATACAGTAAATACATTTCATCATTATTTCTCTCAAAATATCCTGCCAATGACCACTTTCCATGTAGAACAGTAAACAAGAGTCAACTTTATGCATTGTTAGTCTGTTGTGAAAACACACTACATGTTGACCTCACTGTAATCACTCCCTTGCTTTGCTTTTCCCATTATTGTGTAATGCAAATTTAGCTAGTCAATATATTCCTTTTGTCTTGTAATGTTTCTTTACTTATTTTACTTAATTACTATGTAAATGTTTATCATGGTGAAGCAGTAACCAAAAGAGCCCTATAAATTACTTTCTGTATTGAATTAAATATTTCCTTGATACTCCAATGCAACAAATTGTATTATAATGGGCATTGCAAACCAAAACATTCAACCAGTTCCCAAAGCAGTTCATTATGGTAAGCTTTCACTATTGCAATAATCTTGATGTTTCAAGTGAAATCAGGTCTTCTTACATCTCATGACTCATTTGGCTTAGTTTGGTGTTTGCAGCTTGAATTTATGAGGCTCAGTCTCTAAAAGTCATTGAAGTGACTGGCTGTAATAAACTTGACATTAATTTGCATTTTTAAAGGTAGACATCCATCACTTTTAATAGCCATAAACTCTCAATCTGTCTTTAATCTACTCCATGCTGAGCACCATGAAAAGAGGGGCTGATCTCAATCTCATCCTATGAAAATATAATTGCTTAATCTGCCCTCAGTGCTGTTTTGCACTTCTCAAATCACTCCCTAAATTCTGCTAACTCAATAAGGGCATTACTATAGAAATATAGGACTCTCAAACACAGCAGGCTCTCTGCATAACTGTCCTTTTACACAATGTACTACTGCCAGAGCTTTTTGTGATTAATGGTTCCATTCTCCAATGGTACAGATCATAGAGACACACAAAATACCCTACAGAGACCTCCATTACAGCACACACATTATCATTAAGCTTGCAATTTAACAATGAAGAAAAAAATCACAGAACTACCATTAAACTGGATGCAATAATGGTAATGTCTTTGCTTCATCTCCAGGCACCGTGCTCAGTATGATCACTGTTTAAAGCTACTGTTGCAAGACAACAGATTCTTTTTTTGTGGTCTTTACTAGGTGAGGCTCACATGTATGAGTATGGATGAGTCTGGAGAAACTCTTCTATTATAGTTTAACAAAGATCATACAACTTCGGGAAGCAATCTGAAATTTTAGGCTAGTACATCAGTGCTATGTATACCATCCATTTCTTGGAGTTCATCTCTACAGCTGCAAATAGCTGATAAGTAAATGTAAATATGGCCCTGTGGGCCAGCCCTAGGCCTTATTTTACATAGGAGGCCCCAGAAGTGAAGTAGTCTCAAGGGGACACAGCTAAGAGACTGATGAATTAAAACTCTAAATTGCCATGTCTCACCTATCTCATATCCCTTGCCCTAAAGCTGAGTATGGTCTAATTCTCTTTGCCCCTAACACAGGGGAGTTTATATCCACATCACCTACTGGAAGCAATCATGTGTCCACAGCATCCAACCAAAGCACTTTGAGGCAGTGTTTGGGAGCAAGCTGGCTGATATGCACAACAGTGAGCTAAGAGACACCAACAAAAACTTTCTTCTCTATATAAGCAATAGGCCTGGTTCAGAGGTGTCAAACTAGTTTTAGCCAGGACCTTGGAGTGAAGTTTCCCTGAATCTCTGTAATGGGTTTAGCTTAGAGTTCATTTAGATACACCTTGGCTTTGTGGCAGATTTGGTCTTTCAAACCATCTGATAGACAAGGGGAAGCAGTATTTTTTGTTCTGATGCTGTGTTAAGCTATCACTCTTAGGGCTGTTTCCTAGAATTATAGAATGGTTTGGGTTGGAAGGGACCTTAAGGATCATCTAGTTCCAACCTCCCTCCCACAGGGAGGGACACGTTCCACTAGACCAAGTTGTTCAAAGTCCCACCCGGCCTGGCCTTGAACACTTCCAGCGACAGGGCATCCACAGCTTCTCTGGGCAACCTGTTCCACCTGTCTCACCACCCTTAAAGTGAAGATTTTCTTCCTAATATCTAATCCAAACCTAGTCTCTTTCATTTTGAAGCCATTACCCTTGGTCCTATCACTACATGCCCTTGTAAAAAGTCCCTCTCCAGCTCCCCTTTTGGGTACTGGAAGGCTGCTATAAAGTCTCCCTGGAGCCTTCTCTTCTCCAGGCTGAACAACCCCAACTCTCTCAGCCTTTATTGCTCCTTGTTTCCACACAGGAAGCACATTCATGATAGGGTTGCTGGTACGAGCAAGTATCCCCACACCCAGCCACATGCAGGTTATTTTTAACAGATTAAAGATCTTTATAACCTAATTTGTAACTAGAAAACACACAAAGTCACAGGGAGCTGGCAAAAGTGAATTGATTACAATCACCTGTATTTGTCTTTGGGATATACAACCTGAATGTTGGAAAATTGTCTTAGCAGCAGCAGAATAAATTGCAAGTAAGCAAACAGCAGCATCTGATTAGTTGCAGAACAGATGGGAGGCAGGGATTTAACAGGCCTGCTGATGAGCACCACAAAGGAGACTCTCATTGATAAATATGGTGTTTGCTTATACAGAGACACAAATACGACGAGGAGTAAATGGGAGAAAACTGCTCTTTCAACAGGAAACAATACTGGAGTCCTTGAATGTCTTCAATAAAGGTTGCAGAAAAATGTGATACAGTGATTGAGACCATCTGCTTGAAAGAAAAATCACTGCAGGGAGGGAATCAAGTATGGTGCAAGTTTTGCAAAACTAAAAGTGTGTAACTCATATCTCATCTAAAGTCTTATCCTCTCGCTAAGCTCTCCTTAAAGAGCACAATTACCAAAACGTATTGGTCAATAAACAGTTTTCTCCACTTGAATGTGTGCATTCATGTTTTCTTACAGTTTCAACTACTCACTAACTACAACAACATAATAGAAAAACGAGAAGCCTGTTCTAGCTGCCCAACTGTACAACTGTGATAAAGAGCTATATAGCAATCCTATACTTGAAAAGGCAATTAGTTAATGAAAACTTTTGTCTTTTGCTGTGCCAAAAAAATAAAACTGTCCTTCAAATGATAAAAAGGTGCTGCTTAACAGATGACAAGTTCTGGTTGGCAGCTACAAGCCACTTACTAGGTAAGCTTATCATCCTCATCTCTAGCTTGCTGTTTTGCAGGTAGGAGTATGTATTACCAACAGTGTGATTGGGTGCCCTCTGGAAGGTGAAATGGTGAGCAGACAGTTAGAGCCTTCCTTTAAGCACCTTAAGAAGCTGAAGTCACTGGAGAGATCAGTGGCAATGGCTCAACTAGATTTAAGAATCTGACTTCGCACAAGGAAGAGCATTTATAGCATTTGAATTTACTTTCTGTCTTGGAGTCTGTGAAAGTCACAAGGGGCTCCTGAAGAGTTCTGTGCTGTTTTAATGAAAATGCCAAGCAAAGAATGCCTCGACATTTTGACATATAGCCATCACTTCCATATTCCTTCTCTTTCCCCACCGCTAAACTGCGTAGTATTTAGTTTAACTTCTCCTGAAATGAGTGGCAGAAACTATAATGGAGTGGGTTACAATCCATAAGAGACTATCCTTTATACTTAATGCCTGCTGCTGTTCGCCTGTTCATATCACAAATATCCTTCATCAAAAAAGCATCCCCTGGCAAAGACCAGCAACCATCTGGAAAAAATATAACACCTGAAAAGCTAATAAAGTTTAAACTGACTGGATTTCAATATTTAGATCAAGAAATTATTGGTTTTGGAATAAATGATTTCCTAACGTATTTGGAATAAATGATTTCCTAACGTAATGCTGTATTTTTCACAAGTTACCAGAAGATACAACTAGGTTAGCCCACTAGGATGAACATGTCTCACCAAATCACCCAGATACACACGTTTGAGCATGCACTTAATTAAGACACACAAATAATGACATCAACCAAACAGTTTTGCAATACAACCAAAATTCCATTTTAAAAATTTGTTTTTAAAATGTGCATTTTTCTGGGTTGAAATGGGACAGAACTCATTCTCAGTAGAGGACAAAAAAATCCTTACCAAATACTTTTCTGTAAGGCTCTTTGCACAAGTTACACAAGAGAGATTCTTTTATAAAACTTTTAAGCTCAATGCTGCAATCTCGTAAATCCTCAGAACAGAGGCAGCAATTCAGCTATGTTAATTTTTAAAAGCTTGATGGTTTATCATTTTTGCACACTTGTAAACACCAAAAATGTACACTGAAATGAAGCAATCTCTGAAAAGTAACTAGACACAAAAAGTCAATAAACAGACAATATGAAGAACACCCACAATTCTTCGACAAAAATAAAAAAAAATGGTAATAAAATAACCAGAAATTTTAATAAAGTAACTGCTTGAAAGCTTCATGCTTCTTAGATATTCAAGAACTCCTACCAAAAAAGAAAGCAAAACAAAACAATGACAAAATGGTCTAATGTAAATAAAAGGTCACACATGATTGCATGCACTATGGAGTGATGCATTCTTTCAGTAGTTGTACCTCATTTACTAAAAACCTGACAGAAGCACTGCTTTTATAATTTGCTAAAGCAGGATTGTTTAGGTAAGTTCTCTTGTTTTAAAAAACAAGAATTATTTGATCTCACAGGAAAAAATGTTCAACCATTTACTTGTCACATTTGAAGTCTTTCCACTACCACTTAGATGAAGTACAGAAAATGACTTCAGAAGCTTGTTTTATGTGCAAAGTAATACATCAGTATAGAACATTCTTTCTTGCTTGCTGTTTTTTTTTCTTTGAAACTGTACCTCTGTCTGGAGAATTTAGTAATGTTGCAGATGAGGAGGAGAGCCGCTTGTTAATGACTGGATCAACATGTTTCGAAAGGTTCATTGTTGAAACAGACCGCCTGTCTCGATCTAAAACAAATGGAGATAATGCTAATTGACAGCCCACATGCAATAGTGCAAGTTCCTAGCTTGCTAGTGGGAGGAGGAAAACAGGACTAGGTCACTCTTGCTCTACCACAAGAACTTTCAGAACAGAATGGATTTCTCAGAAGACATTGCATAGGCGACTCAAAGACTGGGCACAAAACAATTTAAGATTCAAATGTGTAAAATGTTCTGTTCATTATCATTCAATGGGTTGCAATCTAAAGATTTTCAATATTCTCAGAAAAAGTTTGCTCATTACTTACAATAGAAAGCTTCAGGGAAGGACCAAGGTGCTTGGAAACTCAAAGTTATTCATTAAAAAAAACTTCAGCACCTCAATAAAAGGTGACATTTGAAAGGGCACTGTTAGTAGGCAGACAGTCAATATCATGACAGTGCAATGCTGGAAGATTAAGGGAAGACCAGTACACAAAGGAAGTGACAGTAAGCACAAAAGGAATTAAAAGATTTAGTTTAAAATCCCATAGTTACGTATAAGTTCTAAACTACCCACCACAGAGTAATTTTCAACCTGCTGAAAATGAAGTTGTAGTGCGTTAATCCAAACCAGCACACAGTTTAGCAGATTACAGAAAATCAATCTCTGTGGAAGGCACTTGTAATGCACATACATGACATATGTAACACTAAGACTTTATAATTTGCCTTTTTTTCTCTACACTTTAGAGCAGTATCACATAATTTGCCTGCACAACTGCTGCAGGCAGCATCTGCACCCTACTGAGGGGGTGATGGTTATTTCAAGAATAGAGATTGCACACACTTTGCATATATGTGTGTCACAGGAAGGTTGCTAGTGATAGCAAAAGGGGAGGAATGAGCTGAACAGGTCAGCTACGTCCTTTCTGTTCTCTTTCAGAGAAAAAAAAAGAAAAGAGCTACGTACCTCAACTACACATTCTCCATTGCAAATTTCCATTTGGAAATCTGACATTCAGAACATGCTGTGAGAGTCAATTCTGCTTTTGCTTACATTTTAGCATGTACTGTCCCTCAGCAAAGCATTCAACCATTCTGAAATGCAACGAGGCTTAAGCATATGTTTAACTGCTCTGCTGATTCATATTCTGTGTGTGCAAAAATATGTCTGCATACTCTTTTGGAAGAAGATACAAATTCAGGGCACTGACAAAATTAAGGATGATGTTGCTGAAATACTGTTTGCCATTGTTTATTTATGACAAGTACATCAACACTGTATTCACCTGTTCTGACCTAGTGGATTAGAGTATACACACTGTATACAAAAAAATTTTCACAGAAATACAGTATATGAAAAATACCTTAACTCTCCCCAGATCTATGAACTATATAGGATTCACCATAACTGGTTGGGCTGAAGACAGACTCTCCCCTACCCCATGTGATTATTTGTAACTGTGTCTAATGTTAGAATGACTTAGTGAGGGTATAAAACCGGCAGACTGGGTACTGGAAGAGGAATAAAACTCAGAAATGGGTTTTTAAAGGAGAAATGTAGATGTTGAAACTAAGAACAAGACCTCTGTAGGCTGGCATGCTTATCCCACGTTGATCTATGGGGTATACTGGAGAATGTTCTGTGTCAGTCAGTCATTACTGGAGACAGGATGCTCAGGCTTCCTGAGAACAGAACGATATTTCTGGGAATGGGATGGGGATTTTGATCTCATATTTAATTTCTCCCTGAGAAACTGTATAGTATATCAGTACAGCCATAAAGTTTTTGCATTTGGCATCTGAAGATGACAAATGACAATTTTAAAAATCATCTCTGTTAACTTGGCATGCTGACCTTTCTCGTGTCAATGAACCATATTTAAATGAATGCCATTCAGCATGAAGATTTGCATATAAGTGTTGGCAGTATGAATCCTATAAATATAGAATGGCCAAATGCAATCCATTGCCTAGAAAATTGCTGCTTTGTTCTTAAAAAAACCCCAGAAAACTCAGCAAAAGAAAAAATTAAAATACCCATGGGCAACATAACAGCCAATGCAGCTGGTTATGTGTCTGTGTTCATGTGCAAAATAATTGTAAATCCTGTGTGTATGCAGTATGCCAAAAGGGTTTTAGAAAATAACAAAATATTCAAATTGGGTCTCCTTAAATTCCAGTAGACAGAATATTATGCTTCATTTCAGTGAATTGTGCCAAATCTTTAGAGTCAGCCAGTAGTAACTCTCTAGAAAAAATAAATAATAATGAAAAAATCTGGTACTAACAACAGTTCTAATCTATCAGCATGATGTTAAACATGCATTGCAACTACATGAGAGTGGTTTAGTTACTGATGATCTCATTTCTTGGGAACTAGCTAAGGGTAAAGGAACAAAAAACCACAGCATTATGTACCAGGTTTTCTAGCACCACCCTGAGATCTGAAGTGGTGCTCCAGGCCTGCTAAATCGAGAAAGGTGAATGATGATTCAAAAAAATAACCTAGGGACAGAATGCAAGACAATGATTTTTCACAGAAAATAAAATAAAAATCAAATAAGTTATATAGAGTTAAGCAAAAAAGTAACCTATTATGAAAAATAACTGTTTATTGAACTTATACATGACAAAGATTTCAGAGCATTAGCATTTTTTTCTCAACTCTTTTTTTTCTTCCCTGATGAAAGGTTGGACACATTGAAATTAGAATAGGAAGAAAAGAACTTTAAGTACCACTTTCTGGTGGTAAATAAAGGAAAAGTTCTCTTTATGGGGGTTTGATTCATATTTGACAAGGCATATACACATTAATGATTGGCAGATTAGGTTAGAAAAGATAATTGGGGGAAAAAGCCAAATATAGCTAAAATTCACTTAACTTGCGGACTTCTATCTCCCAAAATATTTGTACAAGGCACAGATAGCTTATTACAAAGAACAACTTTTCTTCCTTCTGTCTATTTGAATCTCAGTATTTGGTCATTTCCACCAGACCTATTTTTTGAGGCATACAGCTAGCATTTGCCACAGCAGCTCATATCACAAGATTGACACAGCACAAGCACACCCACATATACACACACAAACAACAGCAAAGCAGTAGAAGCAAGAAGCTGTAGCAAGATAATTACGTAATTAGTCAACTCCTGAAACAAGCTTTAACTTTTGTTCAGATTTCTCCTTGTTATCTTTCTTCTACACAAGAATGTCAGAAACATGCCATTTTTAGCAATAATAAGATCAAGAGCAAACAATTGAAAACAACATACACAGAACCATTCTTCATTTTTAACAGAAGCAAAATAAGTTCCAGTTAATTGGCAGAGGAGGGAAACTGGCTAGCAAACCAAGCCTCCCTCTTTACCTGGGTTATTAATGCGGTTATGTAGTGCTCCTCCCCAGGACCATCTGTTTTGCTTTTGTTTTGGCTTCTGGCTTCTCTCCATTGTGCGACGTACAACAGCTTCATGTCGTTCCTTAAGTACAACAGGATAATACATTTGGATACTACTGGGTTTTTAACTTCATCTTCTCATCAAACACTGCTACCATCCATCCCCGCAGACAGAACCAAGCAGGCATTGTTTAAGCTTATGTGCTGCCTACTAAGACACACATCAGACCAGGATTAAGCAGCAATTAATCCATAAATAAGTTAGAATCTGAAAATTAAGTGAATTTTTGAAAAGGTAATATCTGTTTGAGACCTGCAGAACTACAGAGAAAAAACAGTGGCCCTGTTATGGCAGCCATTACACAAACACACCCTAGTGCTACTTTCCACCTACTAAATACTAAAACAGCATGAGAGAGAAGAAACAAAAAAACTCATAAGGATGAGCTGACTTTCACAGGATCACACTGCACATAGTTCCCAGATTAATTGAGATAATTCAGCCAAGAGCATATTTTGTTACCCACTCAATATGCAGCTACTGTTGTACTGAATGGCTAGGAATTAACACATAACCATACAAACCTGTCCCAATTTGTGTTTTTCTGTGTAAGTGCGTGCAGTTCCATACACTAATCTAGGCATGCACAGCTTCACTGCATTTGACTCATAACAGGCACTTAAAGAAGCAGTATTTGTGCAAGTAAGACTTAAAATCCTTTTGCACACTCTGTCATACTGGCCATGGCTCATGTTGCATTCTTTATATCAACTCCTACAGAAGAAGTTTGATAGTACTGTATTTTACAGTAAAAGCAAGTTGAAAAGTGTTTTCATGACATTTATTCTCACCTTATCTTCTTCTATTCTCTGCCTTCGCTTTTCCTCTACGGCAGCTCGCCTTCTCTCTTCCTTCAGTCTCTGCTCTTCCAGCTTCTTTCTGCGTTCCTCTAGATGTTTTTCATAATGTTGCCGGGCTCTCTCTTCTCTTTCTAACCAGATGGATTCTCTTGCAGCTGTTAAAAAATCAGAAATAAAAGGATTGGCATGCTATATGCAACGTACTCTTAAACGCTTTTTGAATAACCAAGCTAAATGGAAAAACTTCTGAATGAATGAAAAAACTTTGGAACTAATTTTCTTCAGACATACATAATTTCCTAATCTCTCCTCTCTCCACTAAAATGGCCACACATCCATTTCATTTAATCTCAATTTACATATTGTGAATTACCAACAGTTAAATTATTGAGCATATAGTTTCTGAGTGGAAAAAAGGATTTTTTGTAATTTAAAATATCTAAATACTAAAGTCAGGTTTATGTGAACAAACTTCTGTTGTAAAAGGCACGATAATGCTCTGTAATATTTTACTGGAAAAAAGAAAAAATGAAAAGAAAGATAAAACTATGATCACTTTCACCTTTACTGATCAATACAGATTCCTTATGATAGAAGTGGTTGGGATGACAATTCTAGCATCCGGACTGTTATCTGTATCAACAGAAGGAAAGAACTTACCCACCAAAAAAGCCAGTCTAAAGGTGAACTTTAATTTCTCACATAACTCCACTGCTGCACAGCTCTGAACATGTTTCAGAAGAGCTAATCCAGACAAATCATGATGCACTAAATAAGACAAATTTTGCTCCCCATCAGGGTCTGAATTTCCATGAAGGTATTATCATGGCCTCAAACTTTAGTCCACGGGAAACTAATAACATATGATGCTCTGGATCTCTCCCCATTGCTGTCTTGAAATCTTTGGGTCCTAGAAATTTATTTGTTCTAAAAAAATGTGGTACTTGGTTTTTCTAAAATCCCAGCCATTTGATACCTCTGGATCTTTGTGAACTGATAGGTGAGAGTGCAGAAAGAAATGCACGTGATGATCACAAGACAAGTATCTCTGAGAACCACATTATAAAACCTTAACACAGCAGAAACACGCAACCATGACAACAGCGTCAAAAAGCTTTTCAATTTCCAAGACCAGCAATGTAAGGAAGTTCTCTAACTAAGTCTGAGAGAGTTTTGGGATTTTTTAAATTAAATCTGAGGAAAAAAAGAGAAAGAAAGAAAAAAGAGCCTATTTTTAAAACCACATACTCTATAACAACAACTTCAGCCTGCAATTAGAAGAGAGATTTGTGCTGTTTGACACAACCACTACCAAAGCCAAAACACCCAAATGCTTTTACATGTCCAGAGCAGACATTGCAATCACTTTTTATAATGCTACGACTCATCACTACCATATTGCTCTTTTGCACCTTCTTGCCTACTTAAATAAATCCCACCTCACTCATGGGACGATCCCAATCAATAAATAACTTGGATTCCACTTTAAACCACATGTACTTCCATACTCAATCTCGGCAAATTTCTACCCTAAGTAGATCAGTTCACACTGTAGAGTTATCTCCCTTAAGAAAATCCCTCTCTACCATTTCAGATGTCAAATACTTTGTTGACAAAAGCAGATAGCATGTTTAGCTTTGCTGTAGGATACAAACTGGGGACCCCTGGTGGCCTAGTGGTTAGCATGCAGGACTCTCACTGCTGCGACCACGGGTTCGAATCCCATGTCCCCCGGGCAGATGGTAGCTCGTTAGCCCTGTGAGGCCATCCATCTATGAGAAGGACACTCTAAACAAACCTACGTCCTAAGGACCTCACTGCCATTGTCCAAGCTTGCTTGGCCCCGGCAGATGAACCTTAGGATTAAAGGGTGGGCTCAGTTCAGCGCAGGCTGTGTCTCACCTAAAAAATCCATTGCGCAGGCTGGAAAGGTAAAAAGACCTTTCCCCAAATCTTCGTTCGCGAAGACTGGCCATTATTATTATTAGGATACAAACTAGCGGAGATGTTTGTTGAGCAGCTACATCCAACCTTAAGACACCCTCATGGTAAGAAGGGTGAAAGCTCAGCAAAATGTTTGCAGGAAATTTAACAATCATAGCTAGAATAATTACAGTGACAAGGAATGGTACAGTTGCTTAGATAATTAATAACAATAGGTGGGAAAAGTGACACCTGCAACTGTGAAATACTAATGCAACAGCCAGCAGAAGATTTCTAGAAATATTTTTCTATGCTAATTTAGTTAAGAGTGAGTTGAAGGAGAAATGTAAACCACAGACTAAGGCAGAAAATAGCAGAATATGGCAGAAAAATCAGCTTCCAGGACAACTAAAATCTGCAAAGGCTTCTTCTTGTCACTAAAGCCCTACCGTGTAACAAAATAGAGCCAGAACTGGTGTTCCAAATGGAAGGCTAATTTACAAAGCAGAAACATGCATCTTTTGCCCCTTCTTGGGATCCAAGAGCTCACCAAGAGAATGTATGGACAGAGAGGTGACTCTCACTATGGCCTACTTTTCTCCTGGAACTACATAAGCCCTTATGATCATAGAACTATAGAATGGTGTGGGACCTTAGAGATCATCTAGTTCCAATCCCCCTGTTGTGGACAGACACACCTTTCACTAGACCAGATTTCTCAGAGCTCTATCCAACCTGGCCTTGAACACTTCCAGGGGTGGGGCATCCACAACTTCTCTGGGCAACCTATGATGCCATCTTTCTATTGCCAAGGTACAGAGAAGCTGAGCAAAGGGCTCAGTTTGAGCTCACCTTTTTCAACAATTTGAGTTACATCGTGAACAGCTGAAGTATAATAAGATATGTCACCTCTGAGGTACCATCCTCTCTTTCTGGTTCTGACAGAACCACTGTCAGCCTGTCACCAGAAGGGCAGTGATTTTTGCAAAAGCTTGCTCTTCCTATTAGCTTCTACACAGTTGGACTGCAGAATAGTGTGAGCCCAAAGATAAGCAGCCACATCAGTGAATTGCACTGTTCATTCCACTCTACATGCATTTATCTTGTTTTCTTCAGCAAATGAGGATAATTTCCTCTAAAAGCAGCAACCCAGTTAATTTCAACCAACTACTTTATAAAAAAATTTAAAAATACTTGTTATCTTCAATACCATCTAAATACCACTTAAAAACTAGCAAAAGACATTTCTAAAGTGCTTCTGTTTATTGGGAAGAATAAAGAGTATCCTTAATCTTTGAATTCTAAACTGCAAACGTTCCATGGTAACTATTGCTTTCTCCTGAATATTTGATTAAAATAATTAAAATAATTGTTCATTTGTGCTAAACTGCGGTAATGTTAAATAACCATTAAATGCCATTCCTTGAGGATATTACTCTTGCCTGTTCTTTCCTTATAATTACTTCCTGTGAAGCTTGTTATCATCTCCAGAATTGTGTCCTATTTAAGTCTACTGTTTTGTTTAATTTCTGATGTGGAAATGTTTAGAGAGTTTGTTTCAGTTCTGTGGACAGTATTGCACAGATACAATACAGATGCAGAGCTTGTAACATTTCGACTTAATTTATTCTGACATGCAGAAACTGTAAAACTAGTCTTAATGTCCAGTCTATTATTTGTCTGTCTGTAGATATCGCAGAAATGGATCTTGGGGGAAACGAAATAAAAAAGAAAGAGAGAATCATTCACTGTCCTCCTCTTAAAAGGAAATTAGGAGTCTACTTCATTTATTGCAAGCAAAATTTGTATAATTTTATCTTTGTTAAAAGCTTTAGCTTCCCTAGTCAGGCATTCAAGAGAGGAATTAGATTGTTCCCTTATGCAACAAAAGTTTGCAATCTAAGTTAGACCTACCTTCACAAAGGAAATGCTCTAGACTCTTACAGTATCCTGTCACCATAGTGGTATATAAATGAATTAAAAAAACAAAACAAAAATCGAAACAAACCAACCTACCACACAAAAAAACCCAAACCTCAAAAAACCCCAGCGCACACACCGTGTTACGCAGACCCTGAACACACTATGTAACCAAAACAATGCAGTTGTTCAAAACTGGAATTCAATCAAACCATTTTCCAGAAGTTTTGAAGAATCCATTTTCTTTGAAAAAGCTAAGAGTATCTAAAAAGCATAATAGCATATACATATAATGAAAGCCCATCTAGTTGCAGCATGTTGGCTTTTACTTAATAGTCACTTACTTCCAGACTCTAATGATCATATCAAGACAAGCCACTACTATGAGCCACAAGACTTCCACAGATCCTACGATCTTTTGTGCTTGGAACCTGCTTACAATGGCAACCCAGCATGGAAAAGCTCTCTGTCCACCGAATTAATAAATTAAGAAAAGCAAAAAATAAAAACCCATCAGCTTTCTTAACTGATGTCACTGGAATATTAATTTGCCTATAAAAGACATGAAGATTGATTGTTCTTTCTGTTATTAATGTAGATAGTTAGACATTCTTGGGCATTGTTTGTGGTGATTTCCATAGGCTTCAGCAATCATGCTGTTTAGAAAAAGTAATGAAAATAGAATATCTGAACTTCTAAATTCAAGAAGAGAAAGGATGAAAACATTTTTATGTAAAAGAGTTAACTTTCACGTACACTCTTTACTGCTGAGAAGACAATCAGAATGCTGAACCTCTGGATAGAACACTAATATTCAGCTTTCTGCTCCTTATGGAAGGGATGATAACAATCACACTTTTGTGATAAGGCAAGACAGCTCAATAACAGAAACTCACATTAGTGATGGATTAACCAAGGCAAACAGAAGTGTTCACCTGGAATAAATCTAAACCAAAACAGATCTGATTCAAAACAAATACAAAAGCTACCTCTTTCCATCAACTTTAAGTTACAGGCAAAAGGCAGCAGAAAATATATATCCATCTGTTAACTTAAGGAAGGAACTACTTTTATGCTTGGACTAAGTATTTAACAAATACATGAAAATATGATTTATGATACATCTGTTTGCTGAAAAAAGTGTAATATCTATTTTCATGAACTTAATTTCTTCTGCAGATAGAGAAATAATCTTAGCTACTTTTAGACTTATTTTCAAGCATCAATTCCTATATTTTATCTTATTAGAGAATCAAAGGAGAATATCTGCTTTGTTTTCACTGCTTCCTATATGCACTATTGACATTCTTCT